CATGTGTTGACGCCAATAGGACAAACCTGCTGTACGTAACAATAAGCTTCCTAATTGGTTCGACGTTTGAGACGACGCGGGTCCGTTTCCTTTGTGTTGCGCGCGACTCCCCTTGTAACATAAAATTCGGCCCTTAAACTGATCCATCGCGAAAGCAAATTATCACAATCGAGATGTTAGACCGTTATTTTATTAAACTCTCAATAAGCAACATTAAGAACACGAAAGAATTTTGAAACAAGGCGGTTGTTTTATGTTTACGCGAGCTTTAATTTTCAAACAATGATTTGGCAACGTCGCGTGTACCGGAAACAGACGCGTGTGATGCGTGTCAAGTGTCGATTCACACGAGTGCTCCGATGAAGAACCGGGAGGTGCGTTTTCGATAAGAATCGAAAACACTTGCGGCACGCGCGTCTTCAACGCGCGTCACGTGCCCTTTCCAAGCTACGCGCGGTGTCGGAAATGCAACGGGGGTATAACCGCGACAAACTAGAGAACAACATTTTTTTCTTTTTTTTTCTACCGCGTGAGGTCCCGCGTATGATACGAGCCTCTCGACGGAGGAAAGGAAACGTGAACTAAATGGCGTCTGATTGGCGGAACAATACACGCGGATGGAAAAGCCGCATTCCGTCGTTTCGACTTTTTTTTTTTTTCGACTCCCATTCACGTTGCATTCACTCTTGCACATTGAAATATTTATCAAAGACCAGAGATATAATGAAGCGCGATATATATCCGATGTTCTTTGTGCTTCATCATGCAAACACCTTTTTCTCGCGCGAGTCAACCGCGAGATTATGAGATACGGAGTTGTTAATTCCAAACGCGCGGCCTTGTTGTTGCGTTCAACGCTTTGTCTGTTTAAACGTGTGCGTCTTCGTTATTGAATTTTAATTTGTTCACACGTATCTCATATATCTATCTAATGACGAAACAACATCGCGCAAGATATCTTTAGCCGAGAACTTAAATATTTGTACGTGATTTTATTAAGTCGACTTTTTAGAGAACTTAATTGTTATTATAAAAATGCAAGGTTGGGTAGTGTCTAGTTAAAAAGATAAAAGTTAAGTTAAAAAGTTAAAAAGTTAAATAATTTTAACTTTATCTAGTTACAATTTTAGACTCTTATCTTTTAACTTTATTTAGTTATATTTTATCGGTAACTAGTAACTTTTTATTTCAACTCTCTTGAATCTACTATAGCCATAAGATTTTTTATTTGTTTGCATACAAAACGGAACATATTTCGTCGTATGATTATAATTAATTTTACATGTTTATAGGTCGAAAAATTCGACCAATCACAAAGCTTAGAATGATTCGTTTTATATGCAAATAAATTCGTACGTGTTTGAGAATTGAGCCAATAAACGCTGGTCGTAAAATCCAACGCAATTCACATAATCGTCAGTGTTTACGATTGTAAGACGTTTATAAGATGCGTTCCGTTTCATATACGCGCATTTGTCCATAGTAAACATTACGTATAGTATATAGATCATGTGCGCATATGCAAAAAACCGGAATGTTCATAGCATGCAGCAAAAAAGGGGATGCGCACAACAGCTGACAACAGCAGGGGTATGTTCCAAAATCCTTTGGTTACCAAAAACTATAGTACACGTGACGTGAAATATAGCATTTTTTCCATTATATGTAAGATTAAAACACTGTAAATGTTTGTAATTATTTGTAAGACTAAAACACTAAAATCATGAAAAAAAATTTAACTTTTAACTTGTTAATTTTTTTTTTTTATTAACTTAACTTTTAATCAATTAATTTCATTATGGATTAACTTATATCTTAACTAAATAAAATTTTTAAGACCTTTAACTGTAACTTAACTTAAATAAAAAAAAAATTTAACTTACCCAACCTTGTAAAAATGTATATTATCTAAAAAATATTAAAACGCTCGTGATGTAAGAACAAATTAGTATATCGATGAATAAAGTCAATATCGAGCAAAAAACGTGATGATCATCATTTGACTCTTTACCGTTCAAGTGAACATTACACGAAGTACGACCACCTACCTTATATATAACACACCATGACATCTTTACTTTAACTTTTTGTACACTGCGACTGAGGAGGACATCAGTGAATGTCGAAACGTTTCGCACTTGCCTTATTTTTATTATTTAATGTATTACGTTTGGATATTACAATTTTATACTGTCATCACGTTTTTTGCTCGATATATTGACCTTATTCATCGATATACTAATTTGTATATTATCTACTCTTATTAAAAAAAAAAGTATATTGTTTCACTTGAGAAAATTGAACGCAAAATATTTGACCGTTTTTTATTTTTCTGGGAATAAAACGGTTATAATCTCCGTTAGAAAGTTTTGAATTTTCAGAACGTTGTACACAATTCTCTCATAAAAGATTACAAACTTGATATGTTGTGTAAAAAGAATGGAAGTATTGAGGCCAGAAACAACGAACGACAGATCGATAGGAAAAGCGAGGAACTTTTCCGTCGGTTTTCGCGCCCGTCGTCGATAGTTTCTCCTATCGACAGCGAGAACGCACGTTAGTCCGACGTGATTATATCCTCGCGCTAATTGATTAAGCCCGGGACAGTCGTTGAACATATGTTGGTCATCTTTTACGATTCACTACAAGCTCGCCTCGCGCACGCCCTTAATCCGAGGCAGGGTCCGGAACACAAGAGCGGTTCGTACCGTTGTGTATTACGCAACGTGTAATTTGCGGACAAAAGAGGCACGTTGCTGCCGATGCTTACGATATACCTCGTTCATTGTTGCGCGACAACAATGCGTCGACTCTTTACGAGGCTAGTAACCGGGTAGGTGAAATATTCATCGCCATTGGGGGCTGCTTTCTATGAACGAACGGCGTTAGGTGAACGCGAGAAATTACAGCGGCTGATTACTTACTGACGAGTCGGATACCATAAATGCGGGCTGTATTTACGCATGTACGTGTTGTACAGGCAGAAATCAAAGCGCGGACCGCTTTGCAATATTCGAATCGATTAATTAATATATTACATATGAAACTTACCGCGTGAAAAGTTGAGCGATAACGTAAAGTTAGAGAAAGAATATCCAAGATTGTGGACACTTATCTGACATCAATCGTAGGTGATAAGAACCAAATATTTAAAAAAGCACGAAGTACGATCTTCGTGTACATTCAAGTTCGCTGGAATTGAATTTTTTTTATTTTATTTCTCGACGTTTCCGCACCGAAGAGAAATCGATCACACAGCCGGAAGTACTTAAAATTTTTCCGTATCTTCGCTCCCAATTGTTGAAAAAAAAAAAACGATTATTTCACGTTGTGAAAAACGATCCGAACGTTATATACCATTACAATTAACGGGAAATCATCGATCTCTCGATACATCTATTTCGAGGTCGACAAATCTATGTTCCCATGAAATTGAACTTTCGCCGGTCGAAATCACGATCCTGTTAAGCGAGACTGCTTCAAACGATGCGACTAATCCTCAATCCTGGATTTTTGTGGGATGATCCATGAAAGAATTGCACCCGCGCACTGCGAGAATCTTCCTAAAGTATCGAGAAAACTGATTTTGTTCGTCGATTAGCCACGGCCGCTGGATCTTCCTCTCCCCAAGCTTTGAAAGACGCGGGAACTCACCACAGCTTCGACAAGATTTATCGAGATTTCTTGAGAACAAACTCGCTTCTCACTTTTGCGCGAAATATTACATCGCACCCAATAATTTCACGCGTGCAAAAGATATAATATTAAATATATAAATGAATAAGAGCCGTTGGATGTGTTTTGTGGCGGAAATATATTTATTTGTATTCACAAGATATTTTTTTCGCAATATTTTAAAATTATTTAGATAGGTATACGGGGTCTCTCGTATATGTGATGCAAATATACCATCCTATATGAATTTAAGAAATTGATATTTCAATTCAAAAACTCACGTGTAAATTTACACGTGAATACATACAGGGTGTCCGACAATTAGTGTAAAATCTCGTAGGCAGGTAGAAGGAGTAAAACTGAGTCGAAAAGTCCTGAATCATATTTTTCTATTACATATAACAAAGGAGTAATTATTGAATAAATCAAGCCAATCAGCGCCGACCTTTAGGCGGGCGCATGTCAGTGAGCCGCGCGGAGCGCTCACGCACACCAGGCGCGTGGTTCACTGACGTGCGTTCGGCTAAAGGTCGGCGCTAATTGGCTTGATTCATTCAATAATTATTCCTCTATTATATGTAATAGAAAAAAATGGTTCAGGACTCAGTTTTACTTCTTCTACCTGCTTACGAGAGATTTTACGCTAATTGTCGGACACCCTGTATATATACATATTTCCGCGTAACAACATCCAGGGCTACGTTCCGATTTCTCACCCGAGTATACTTTATCTTTATCACTCTCTAGATATGAAACAAAGATAAAATGACACTCGGATGCACTCGAGTGGGAAATCGGAACACCTAGCCCAGCATAACGGCTCTTATTCGTTTATATATTTCGCGTTTAGAAACCTTCAGAGCCTAAGATACTTGAAAAGAATTGTTATATATAATATTAACACTAGATTTACCAGACCAGTCATTTTGACTGGTCGTGCAATTTCAATTCAAAATTCCTACTGCATGTAACATTTGCTTTCCGAAATGATGTTATGACTTTTGTAGCTATAAGTAGAGAATACATTTTATGAACTTAATGTTACCTTATATATATTCGTAACAAATATATTTTTTTGTATTTTTTAATAGGTATATTTAAATAGCTGGTATATCTAGTGTTAAACTTGGCGTGAGAACAAAAATTATTTCGTTTAGAACAAACGATCAAACAATTTCATAATTAAACAGTAATATTTTTGTTAATAACAAGAATTTATTTGTGTACATGTCATATCAAATATACATAAGAATACCAAATATACATAAACGTATTCACTCAAAAATACATAAAAATATATAAATAAAAATATAAAAACGTTTTGTTTTACATGTGTGTGTGTACGATATTTTACGTAATACGATATTTTATGTAATTTATTGTCATCGAGTCAAGTAGGAAAAACGATAATCATTATTTATTTAGGAATGTTTCATTTTCGGTATAGGTTCCTCGGTAAGATTTCGCCTTTTCGGCGACCATGAAGGCGGTCTGGGCAATGTAGGCCGCGGTACCGAGCTCGATTGTTTGCGAGACCTACTACTACGGGTCGGAGATCGTCGTCGTTGCCGTCGTCTTTTGGCCGCGGTCGATCTGCTGGTTGTCTTTTTCTTGCCGCTCCGCCTCGTCTTTTTCTTTGTTCTGGTATTTCTTCTGGCGTTATTAAGACTCGAGCTCGCAGTTTGATGGAAATTGGGATCAAATCTGTCGAAGTTATATATTAAATTATAATATATTTGTGGGGGGGGGGGCAATAATGTGTACAGTGAAATTTTGTTGTACAACAAATTTATAATAGTTTTCGATAAAAATTCTTAGCGTGTTGTGTCACTTTTGTTTGTTTTCAGTTAATGACCGAATTTTATTGATGTTATTAGATATTTTTTTATAGTTGACAGAAATACAAAAAGTAAATGTAATTATAAAAATTGATCGAGAAACTCTGTAAAAGAACTCGAAATATACATGGAGTTCTTTATATAGTATATATATATATATGTATATATATGTAGCTTATAAGTTTCGCTGAAAGATTCATTTCAAGTTATTTGCCGAGAGAGCGCTTTCCGACGAAGAGGTAGCACCTGAATTTGTTTCTCTTTTTAGCAAGTATCCCGTAGTCGATGCCACGACGCAAGGCAAGAGCGATGTCTCTCTGAAGAGTTTTACCGGCCGCTATGTCATATTTGTTGCTGATGTGCGTAAGGATCTCTTTCTCCGTAAAGCCATCGGGTGGTTGTTCGGTGCAAAGCAGATCGTAAACGAGAATCGATCGGCGTACCATTTTTTAATTTAACTGTGTCACTTGTTACAAAAAAAATATTTACCGCAACCGAATCCCTAACCAATCAATTCACATAATTTTACTCAGATCATATAAATGCTTGCTGAAGTTCGGCGCATATAATCACGAATTGTTATTTGTCTCATATACATAAAGCGTGTGCGTGTAAAAACAATCACATAAATAACACGTATGTATCGTTATACGATATATTATTGCAACAATTAATAAATTTTCAAAAGATGTTTTTATGTTGAAAATCGAGCGTAATTCGATGAAAAACGTGAAAAAAACTTTTCATCGAGTGCTACACGTGTGTCGTTAGTGGCGCAATTATCACTAATTATCACCATCGCGTGCAACGGGCTTAATGTCCAAGAGGTAACCATGTTGCTGCGCATGTATCGATTTGCATACCTGCTAGTGAGCTTCTGTATAAATCGATATTCTCCCTAGGAGCAGCAAACTCGTCCTCGCCCGTAGATATACACATTTCATATAAAATATATAATGTATATGTACTTATATATATGTATTTATCGATATATGTATTGTATATAATAGATATTTTCATATATATGTAACTATGTCCTGATATTTCGAGCAGTTTGCTGTTTGCCGAGAGGGGTGCGCGCGGAGAGTTTAGAAGAAGCTCGGTCCGGGTGGTTGGGCGATTTCGATGGTGGTTTTGGCGAAGAGGATTGAGAGACCTATGATTGGGGAAAGGAAGGGAACGAGAAGTAGGGAAACGAAAGGGAGCGAAAATGGAGAGAAACGGGGTCTCGGTGTCTGGAAAGAAAGAATCTGCCTGGATGGCTGCGGCGACTCTGATTTCCGTCGGGAGTTTCGCTCTTAGCGAAGCGGGAGCAGCAACCGAAGCGAATCCGCCTTTAATCATTCGATTGCCAGATCCTTCCTACCTACCGCCACGACGATGGCGGCAAAGCCGATATCCCCAGTTACAACAGCATCCGCAGCAGCTGACGGCGCTTACTAGTTGACTGTTTGCTTGTCATTCTGACGATTGGACGTTGCGAAAAACAAATTAATTCGCGATGTTTTCCGCAGCAATCTCGAATAAGTGCGGTGAGCATTTATTGCGCCTTTCGATTTTCTCAAACAAGATTTGGGAAGAGTCAGTATCGAATTCTTTAAGAATGTTGTTCTGGATATATAACGCAAATAATTTATTTAGAAAAAGATAGGAAGTCTTTCTGCAATTTTTGTGTGTTTGCATAATCAAATCTCGGAGAATAACTGCAAAAAAAAAATAAAAAATAAAAAATATTTTTGTACACACGAAGCGAAGTGCCAAAGATCGCTGTTTCCAATTTCGTTCTTTTCCGTTCTACTAACTAAATGTTACACAGCAGCATTGAGAGCAAAAAGAAAACGACGACGTTATTGTATTAGCAGCGACAGTAAAATATATTTGCGCAGATTGTTAAATATTAGGTCTAAATTATTACTTTCCGTCCCGTTGAGTGGCCTGTGAAGTTTTCTGCGCGGAAACTGAAAGATCGAGGATTTCTCTCAATTTTTCCGAGAAGTTCTTTCCAAGAAAATTGGTGCGGAAGCGTCGACTCTGTTAAAAGGGTGCTATAACTACACTCTATTTTCATAATTACGAACGGCACAGTTAATTTAAGTGGAGTAACCTGAATTTTTTAAAAACTGTAAAATGTTTCAAAGGATGAAATAAATCGTAAAATAACATTATAAAATATAAAATAATATAATATAGAATAAAAAATATGTAAAATTAATTTATATATTTACGTATACCCAAGGTTGGGTAGTGTCTAGTTAAAAAGATAAAAGTTAAGTTAAAAAGTTAAAAAGTTAAATAATTTTANCTTTATCTAGTTACATTTTTAGACTCTTATCTTTTAACTTTATTTAGTTATATTTTATCGGTAACTAGTAACTTTTTATTTCAACTCTCTTNAATCTACTATAGCCATAAGATTTTTTATTTGTTTGCATACAAAACGGAACATATTTTGTCGTATGATCATAATTAATTTTACATGTTTACAGGCCGAAAAATTCGACCAATCACAAAACTCAAAATGATTCGTTTTATATGCGAATAAATTCTTACGTGTTCGAGAATTGAGCCAATAAACGCTGGTCGTAAAATCCAACGCAATATAATTTATAATAAAATATATAAAGTATATTTCTAAATAAAGTGTACATTTATTTTTTCCATTATATGTAAGATTAAAACACTGTAAATGTTTGTAATTATTTGTAAGACTAAAACACTAAAATCGTGAAAAAAAATTTAACTTTTAACTTGTTAATTATTTTTTTTATTAACTTAACTTTTAATCAATTAATTTCATTATGGATTAACTTATATCTTAACTAAATAAAATTTTTAAGACCTTTAACTATAACTTAACTTAAATAAAAAAAAAATTTAACTTACCCAACCTTGNGCGCCCGGCGCTCCTTCAAGTTGCGGCAAGTGGATTATTGACGGCACGAAACAATGGCGTAGCTTTGTTCGACGTGCTCTTGCGCGTAATATGTGTTCGGCGCACAGTGCACGTCTGTCTGTCCGTCAGTTTTGTGCGTCACAAGTGGCACCGGATATAAGCCGAACGAGTGGCCCTTCGCGCTGAGTCGAGTCAAGCACCGTATAGTACATCTGGCTATCTGATCGGTGTTTATTAAAAATCATTCGCAACTAAAATTGTCCGCACATTCAATCTGCCGCGTTTAGATGCGGCAGTTCATCGTTAATCCCTCAATCTTTTCGGCGAATAGCCTCGTGATGTCGCAATAATGTAAATCTTCTTTAAATGTTTTTGTTAGCGAGAAAAAAATATCGTAAAAGATCATAGATCTTATTTCCAAAAGGAATGTCCAAAAACACGGAGTATAAAACAAGGAACAAAAAAAGAAACCATTAAAATAAATCAAGATAAGTGTAGACAGGTAGACACATATATATGGAACTCACGATTTCTAAATTTCCACGTAAAATTTCTCGTAATAAGTTGTTTCTGAATTTGAAATGAAATGAGTTTTGCTTGTATTTTTTGTACATAAATATTTTACACTTTTGGACCTAACCTGATGATGAGCAATACGTTCTTATGTTGGGAGAAAAAATTATTTCCTTCGATCCTTTTTTTGATTAGATGTTCTTTATCACCTTTTGGAAGGAACCCAAAAACACAAGAATGCAAGGACAAGACAAATCGAAGGTAATATCGGGCAAAACCTGTATAGACTAAATGTTCTGTTATATATGTAGCAAATTATGTCATTAAAATGACCGTTCCGTCTGAAAATTTTGACCAATTCCAATATGAAGAAAAAACACACACAGGTAGCACTGGAGTAGAACAAAAGTCGGCTGTAAAACTCGAAGTACATAAACCATGGACAAAAAATATGTACCACTTTGAGCTCCACTAAGGTAGCTTAAAGGTAGCTTAGCTACCGGCAAAGGAGTGTAGTTTCATGATCTAAAGGATTGGAGGAAGCAGTTTTATCCGCGACAATTTTATTGGTCTTTCTTCAAAGAGACAGCGGAACTCGGCGGTGTAGGCTGATTGCTCTCCTCCGAAAAGACACGGTAACGCAAAGCAAGGCGGGAGGCGGGTAAGTTAATTCACCAACGCGCGAGTTTTGATTTTAGCGCTTATAAATCCAATCTTCGAGAAAAATACGACTTAACGCGTTATACGCTTTCGTTCTTTGCTCGGATGATTTTTACAGTTTTTGAGAAAACAAATTTCATCGTGAACATGTTGAAAAAAACTCACCCCATATAAAATTGAAGAAGTGATATTGCAAATGTACTACATTATACACGTATAATTTTATATATACATATATATATATATATATATATATGTATATATGTACGTAGAAATTGTGCTGAATCGCGCGAGAAGTGCGCTCGCTCGTAAAAAAGAAATCTCTGTGACGATAAGAAGTCTTCTGTACTTCTGGGAATGCTGGGGGGTTTGGCCCATGGTGAATTTTGCCATGGAGGTCGTGATCCAACGTGCAAACAAACCCTATGGGTAGAAGCTTCGATTTGGTATCCGCTGATGTCGACTATCCTGCATCCCTCGAGGCGCAAAAGCGGTGCTCATTATCGAAATACAGTCTCTCGATGTTTGGAAAGAGCGCGTAAGTGCCTGCTCTCTCGTACGTATGTTTTCTCAATCGCAGTTTATAGTATTTTGTGAAAATTATTGGTCGGTAGTACAGTTTGCTTTTAACGTTATCGCGTATTTATAAATTATATATGCGAACTGACAAATATGTTTTTTTTATAAGATATTATTTTAGTCTTTTTGTAAGATACATTTATATTTAAATAAATTTTTACGTAATACATAATATACCGTGTATTTGCCGCGTTATCGCATTTGAGAAAAAAGCGCGCGTACGTTAAATTTAATTTATATTTTAAATTGCGAAAATTAATTTATTTCACGATTCTAATTAACTAACTTCTCGTACTACCTTTCAACGCGCACGGCATCGCTTTATATCTGCAGTTTGGCCTGACAAAATCCGCGACAAACACATTTCCTAGAAACCACGTAAGCGGTAACACAGAGAAGAAGTAAAACACACGGTCTTATGGCGGCGCGAGGAAGTGACGCAGACGAATTTCGAATTAACGTGCTGGATGTTTGAGCACCGTTCCAGGAGAACCTCTCCAGGGGTTGCAAAAGCGACGGGGTGGCTTGACAGTGGCTGGTGGCTCGGAGGGATTCAATATAATCGCGCAATAAAATTCACTTACAAGCTATAGCCATGCTTACGCCCCCGTCGTCGCTCTTCGCAGCCCGATTTCCACCCTAACGCTCTTCTCTGCCCCCCCCCTCCCTCCCCCCCTACAACTACGAAAAGCAGGAGCTTTATCCTGCGCGTCGTGGCAAAGCGCCATGAAGTATTGCTGTTGAGATTTCAACCAAAATTCCGTTTCGTAGAATCCGAGAGAAAAATCGAAACGCGCAGGTTTATAAACGTGCTTCCAACAATTTCTTGTTATTTTCACTTCACAATCGAGCTGCTTATCGATTTTATTTTGAAGTAACATAGCGGCATTAAAAAAAAATTGTACCGTGT